CAAGTACATGCATGTGTGTGTGTGTGTGTGTGTGTGTGTGTGTGTGTGTATATTACCTCATTTAATAAAGGTAGTACAGCATAGTAGTTAAAGGCCAGGAATCTTGGGTCAGACTGCTTGGGTTCAGATCCTTGCTCAGCCATTAATTAGTTATGTGGCCTTGAATAAATGTTTATTGCGTCAACATTTTTTGTATAAATTGGGAAAATAATAATAGTAATTACCTCATAGGACTGTTATTAAAATGAAATGAATTAATATGTGTAATACAAGTAATGTTTGACCAATAATATTAAAAAAGGGTTACCTGTCAATTTAATTCTCACAAAATCTCATGAGGTAGAAATAATTTCCCCCATTTTATAGGTCACAGAGTAGGAAACCAGTACTTGAACTCAGGTCTATGTAGTTCCAAAGATGGAAGGTTTTAAGACAGACTCACATGAGGGACAGACAAACAGATGGGGGAACTAGAAGTTTGCGAACTTAAGAAGAGATTAGCGGGGGTGCGGGTGGTCATTGGAGGGTGGCAGTGGCAGATGTATTCAAAAATTTCTATGGTCATCATGTAGAAAAGAATTAGATTTACCCAATATGACTCATGAGAGTCAATGCATTAGTGATGGTTAGTTATAAGGAAGCAGATTTAACCTAACACAGAAATATTTTAAGCCAAACACCTTTTCTAAAAGTCAGCACTTTTCAACAATAAAACAGGCTGATTTTTAAGAATGAGTTTCCTGTCACTGGACACATTCAGCCTAAATGGCTGTCTGTCATGAATGTTATTGAAAGGATAACTTTATTGGGAGAGAAGCTGGAAGAGATGACCTCAAAAAATCCTATGCACTCTCAGACTCTACAACTGAAAGATAGTAACAGAAATATAACAACACATACCATTTATAATAGCCAGAACCAAAATGACAGAAGACAGAAAAATTCCTGCTGAGAAACACCTTCTAGCTTCTGTCTGACAGCTGCTATATACTTAGTTGTACACTTGCCCACAGGACATGGTGCTTGGCATTGGTAGTTTGAAAATCCTAGGTAGTCTCTGATGCTTCCATTATTATTATTTTTTTATTGACTTTTAGTTCAGCTCATAAAAATGATCCTTATTTATTGTGCTTCTACTGAATACATATTTAATATAAATGTAAATCTCCTAAATACTTTAAAACATTCCATTGCCATGCAATGTCGAATTTGGTATAATTATGGTATGATTAAAAAGGCAGGTGACTTGAAACGAGTTAAGTGGCATCTTCCAATCTGGAGCCCCCTCAAAGAATACATACTAGGAGCATTTATGTTTTCTTGATAGTGATGACAGAAGAGAAATAAGCTCCACTGAACTGAACCATCATTACTTCCCCATTCCCCCACATACACACACATTTAGGTGAGAAGTAATATTTCGGTGCATCTTCGAAGCATTACCTTGAGGGAATATGATGAGCTACACATATGGGTCAGCTTAATGTCCCCATCACTAGTTCCTGAGGTGTGCAGTAGTAGCTACAGAGAATAAAAGCTTTCCCCTCTTTGGGGAAATAATCATAGCTCAATATTCTTAACCCCTTAAAATATTTTAAGTCAAACACCTAAAATCAGTGACTTATTGGCAACAGCTTAAAATAACAAAACCAAATACATGATGATTCTATACATATCCCCCTTCCCTTTTGACTAACACATGCTTGGCTTGTAAAAAGCTTTATACTTTACTTTCATCTGTTCAATATTCACCAAATTCTGTACTGAGCCCTTCAGAACTGTGTTTTTGAAAGGATCACAGGCAATAAGATTCATTTTAACTTGGGCTGGAGCTTTAATCCAGAGGAGGGCCTCACTACATCAAGGAGAAACATCTGGTTAAAACACAATGGGCTTGTCACGGTGCCATAAAATTCATGCTACTGATCATTATTTTGGCTTGAGATGTTGAAGGCTAATTTATTAAACCAACAAATCATTGTGCCTAGTAAGTTTCAGACTCTGTGATAAGTGTTAGAGAAAATCAAACAGATGAATTGAATATCTTAAAAACCTTTAGAGATAAATTTATCCCTCATTTGGTCTATAAACAAGCCTCTTTCAAAATGTCCAAAACCAATTTGGTGTCCCCAGAGCAATTGTTAACATGTTATCAATAGTGCTGTGTTCATTAAATGCCTGTTATGATGAGATATATTTATGACGTGTTTAGAAACCTCTTCCTCGGGATCCAAAAGACTGAGTGATAGAAGAAGAGAAACTACAGGTATACTTATATGTTGATGTTATGTTAAGGGATATAGGAACCAATCAAATAAATCTCCTTGGCTTTTAGGACAGCTCCTGTGCTTCTTATAATGACTAAGGGAAACAACTTCACGTCCACTAAGTGCTAGAGAATTCTGTCCTCACAAGCCAACGCCATGGGTTCAATCCCATGTTGGTTGGTGATGTTCATTCTGCTTCATGGTCACAAAAAATGTAGATTTAGAAGTAAGATCAGATTCATATTTTTACCATTGCTTAGTTAAAGATGACAGCTTTAGAAAGTGATTCAACAGATGCTTTCCCAGTATCTTGTTGATTTTTAATAATCACCTTCAACTTCTTATTTCCAACGAAATTAATTTTTTAATACCAATCATTTCTAATGTTATAGTTTCCATCCGCTTGGCATTTGGGGAGGTTTATGTCCCCTTCCAGGGGAATTTTTTTCCTTTTCTACTCACCTAAGACCAGAGGAGATGAAAGTTCTTGATTCAGGCAAATGTGTATTTGAAATCCCACTCTGTCACTAACGAGCTATAAGATTTTGGCTAAGCCACTTAGCATCTCTAAGGATAGGTTTTATCCTCTGTAAAATAGGGATGAAAAGTAGATTCTTATGAGAATGAGATAAGCCATATAAAGCACTTTATATCAGGACTTGGACCCACTAGGTGCTCAATTAATGGCTGCTATTACTGGGTATTATCTTGCACTGCAAGTGGGGGTTAAAGGTGGAGGAAATCACCTCCATCATTTACTAACTGTGTAATCTGGATTAAATTGGTTCACTTCTCTTAACATATCTAAATGAACACTACAATTACCTTAATGAAACCTCGGTTTCTTCATCTGTGACATCAGGATAATAGTAGTGTTCATTTAGATGTGTTAAAAATTAAATATGCTATAATGCATATAAATTCTGTAGCATATAGTAGGAATTCTGTAATTATTAGGTTAAAGTTTGCTATAGCAAAACCAAAAATCCCTTCATTTTAATGAGGGCTCTTTTTAAATGGTGTGGTTGCTGGATTTAAGTCATACAGTCAATGAAATATTGCATTCCTATACTATTATAGGAGTGAAATTAACCAACTATTCTTTATAACTCAGTGATAGAGAGCTGGCTTCTCATATTCTAGGAATGTGATCTCATCTAGCCACATGTCTTCATGTAGATTTCTCCTAAATTTACATTTTTGCCCTGATTTCTACTCTGACTTCCAAACTCATATATCTATCTATCTCTCCTGTACATTTCTACCTGGATGTGTATTAGGCATCTCAAAATTAATATGGCCTAAAAAATAAGTCTTTACCACATACCTTGCCAAAAACCTATGACATACCCTTTCCTCCATTCTTTCTCTCTCCTAGAGTCTTGTTGAATCTACATCCAAAGCATACTCTCAATATCTATACCTACTTTTCTCTATCTCAACTGGCACTATTCTAGGCCAAGTGTTCATCATCTCTCTCCTGGACAACTACTGGAGCACCTTAATTTTCTTCCAGCTTTTATGCTGGGTCTTCATATTTTGCCTCAATCATGTATTAAACGTGGGCCTCTAATGGGGTTAAGGACATGCCATCCCAAAATATATTTGTTGAAGACCAGAATATGCCACTCCAAATTATGCCTCTTTTGCATATGGATTATTGAGTTGGTTATTTTGAGAAACTGAAGACATAGGAGAAGCTCTGAAAAGTTATCAATTGGTAAGAGAAATTTACATCTATAAAGGAAATCTTCTTTTGTAATGATGTCTACCTCTTTATGCCAAGAAGAGAAGGATGACCAAATCACTAGGGACTGTTATTCAGTGGAGAAGGCATGGACTTAAAACTGCATAACAAACCTTACCTTTATTTAATGGTGCTATTTTTTTTTCCTTCTGGTCTTAACCAGGCCTTTTCTATACCCTTTTTTCACTGTTTCAGAGAATTGTTCTATTTAAGCCTTAAGTCTAAGACAACTTTTTAAAATTTACTAATTTCTGTTTCTTTTCTCTCATTTATATATGAAGTATAAAAATTAATGAACTTGTGATTGCTTTTCTTTTGTTAATCTGTCTTTCATTACAGGAGTCTGTCCCAACTAAGAACTCTAGAAGGTAAAGGGAAAATTATTTTTCCTCCCTTGCACCTCCATGGGAAGAGCACAAGGCAGCACTGGGCAGGTGAGGCAGTCTCAGGAGGTTAAAACTGAAGGCTGTGTGCTTACCACACTTCCAGTAACAGGGACAATATGTCCTTTGTTGAAGGGGAATCTGGATAGTGCAACTCTGTGCTCATAACAATGGTTATCCTAATTCAAAGCTCTTACCTGGGTAGTTCTAGAACATAAATTTATAACTCTCTGATATTCTCTTACAGAATTATAGAATATTTAAATGTCACAGAACACTTAGATTTTACAAAGATTTTATGCTTTTATTTCAATTATTTCAATGGCTCTGTAACATAAGCATTTCTGTACTGATTTTTCACTTGAGGAAATTGTGAATCAGAGAGGTTATGACTCAAGGTTACACATAGAGTAACTGGTGTAAAGTGAACTTAATCCTTGCTTTGACACTAAACTCCAGTGTTCTTTCTACTATGCTTTACTACCTCCCTAACCAGATAGTTTAGGTGAGCAGAAAACTTCATTTCCAACCATACTCCTTAACTGAAGGCTCTTTTTAAAATTTTAACTTTTAAGTTTAGGGGTACATGCACAGGTTTGTTATATAGGTAAACTTGTGTCATGGGGATTTGTTGTACAGAGTATTTCATCATACAGGTTTTAAGTCTAGTACCCATTAGTTATTTTTCCTGATCTTCTCCCTCCTCCTACCCTCCACCTTCTGATAGGCCCTAGTGTCGGCCGTTCCCCTCTATGTGGGAGCAAAATGATGAGAACTGAAGACTCGTATACTCTTTTTGTTCTTTCTGCCTAAGTGTGTGTGATGTGTGTGTGTGATGTGTGTATGAGAGAGAGAGAGAGAGAGAGAGAAAGAGAGAGTATCATTATTACTGGAAGTGTGGGTAAAATTGACACACGCATTTAAAAAATGTAGTCTCCAAATAATCAGGTTAAGGCCTTCTTGGAAAGATTTCCCTGGTTAATAATATGTTTTGAAGAGTATCTTTTAAAAATTATTTGTTCTTTATGAAAATTATTTAATGACAATGCTCTAAGTAGGTGTTTATCTATGGGGCAAGAGTTAAAATTGCATCTAATCACTGTCAGATAATCCCTTAAAGAGAGCTTTAAGATATCTTTGCATGCTGAGCACATGCTGAAGACAAACTTCCATATTCAGCAAATCTGCATTTATTATTCACATATAGCAAGTAAGAATGGTAACTAAGCTTCAAAGAACTTTTTCAGTGTCAAAGTCCAAAGCCTTGCCAACTGATTTGAGAGTGTGGTCAAACCTTGTTCATTAGTCAGCCTGTCAGCCTGTCAGAAAAATTATGTGAAATTGTAGGTAATAACTCATTAGCAAGAAATAGCTATTGTTAATTATGACAAGGTCAGGAAAGTAAGATCTTTCTGAATTTGAGAGGATATTAAAAATAATAAGAAAAATGTCTTAGAGTAGAAAAAGACCCAAAATCAAATACAGGAAACCATGCCTGAAGAAAGGGAGCGTGATGGTATACTATGAGTTATGTGATGCTCTGGGACCAAAGAAGCAAGTCCCCAGAATTAAGTAGCTGCTGCTTGAGGTTGTCAGTGGCCACTTAGGGCTCTGTTCTCTGGCCCATATGCTCTCCCTTTTCAGGGGAGTATCATCTTGACTAGCTCATTAAAATTCAAAGTATGTTAGAATTATTTTGTTACAATACCCTTATTGAGTTGGCCACTCAATATGTGTAGAGAAATTATCTTGGTTGCTTGAGTAAGTTGGGAGAGCTAAAAAGAGAGGGGTTTTTAAAAAGATTATGATTCTTCAAGGGTCTAGAACTAGAAATACCATTTGACCCAGCAATCCCATTACTGGGTATATACCCAAAGGATTATAAATCATTCTATTATTAAAAATACATGCACACATATGTTCATCGCAGCACTGTTTACAATAGCAAAGGCTTGGAACCAACCCAAATGTCCATCGATGATAGATTGGATAAAGAAAATGTGGCACATATACACCATGGAATGCTATGCAGCCATAAAAAAGGATGAGTTCATGTCCTTTGCAGGGACATGGATGAAGCTGGAAACCATCATTCTCAGCAAACTAACACAAGAACAGAAAACCAAACACCACATGTTCTCACTCAGAAGTGGGTGTTGAACAATGAGAACACATGGACACAGGGAGGGGAACATCACACACTGGGGCCTGTTGGGGAGTAGGGCAGGGTAGGAGAGGGACAGCAGGGCGTGGGGGGATTGGAGAAGGATAACATTAGGAGAAATACCTAATGTAGATTATGGGGAGATGGATGCAGCAAAACACCATGGCATGTGTATACCTATGTAAAAATCCTGCATGATCTGTACATGTAGCCCAGAACTTAAAGTATTTTTTTAAAAAAAGAAGAGCCCAAAGACACACATTTGCAAATAACAACAGCTACTGTTTAATAAGTATTTGCTGTGTACCAGCAACTTCATTAAGTATTGTATGTATATTTTCTAGTTTGTTCTTCAAAACAATTCTGGAAGGTAGGAAATAAAATTATCCCCATTTTATGTATGAGGAAACTAAGAAACAATGATGTTAGGTCACTTGCCCAGGAGATGGCAGTGCCACTAGATTAGGTAGTTGTGTCACTAGAACTAAGATCTGAGTAACTCTCAAGTTCTCTTAATAACTCTTAACATAATAATAATAATGACATTATTTCTTAACATAATAATTTCTTAGAGTGAAAAAAATTGGACCACAAAAAGAAAATTCATTGATAAGTTGGACTTTATCAAAAGTAAAAATTTCTATTCTTCAAAAGACAATATTACAAAGATGAAAAGGCAAGCCATAGATCAGGACAAAATACTTGCAACACCTATATTTGACAGAAAACTGTTATTCAGTATATATAACAAACTCCTTCAACTTAATAATAAAAAGTAAAATTGGCTGTGTGCAGTGGCTCATGCCTGTAATCCCAGCACTTTGGGAGGCTGAGGAGGGTGGATCACAAGGTTAGGAGATCGAAACCATTCTGGCTAACACAGTGAAACACCATGTCTATTAAAAATACAAAAAATTATCCAGGCATGGTGGCACACACCTGTAGTTCCAGGTAGTCAGGAGGTGGAGGCAAGAGAATCACTTGAACCCAGGAGGTGGAGGTTGCAGTGAGCTGAGATTGCACCACTGCACTCCAGCACAGGTGACAGAGTGAGACTCTGTCTCAAAAAAAATAAAATAAAAAAAAAGACTTGTACCTATATTTTACAAAATAAAATAAGACATATGAATGCCTAAGAAGCACATGAAAGATGCTCAACCTCATTAGTCATCATAGAAATGCAAATAAAAACCACAACGACATACCACTTTACACCTATTATAATGGCTAAATTTTACAATTGATCATAACAAACGTTGATGAGGAAGTAGAGCAACTATAATTCTCATCCACTGTGGATGGAATTTTTAAAAGGTAAAATTATGTGGATTTTTTACTTTTAAACTTTACAAATAAGTTGAAAAAATAAAGAGTACCAAGAACACTCATATACACCTAATCCATATTAATCTATTGTCAGCATTTTATCTGGAGTGAGACAATATCTTATTGTAGTTTTGATTTGCATTCCTCTGATAATCAAAGATGTTAAGCACCTTTTCAAATAACTATGTACTATCTACAGATCTTCTTTTGAGAAATGTGTATTCATATATTTTGTCCAACTTTAATCAGATTATTAGATTTTTTTCTATAGAATTGTTTGACCTCTTTATATATTCTAGTTCTTAATCCCTTTATATATTCTGGCCAGATTGTTAGTTTGCAAATATTTTCTCCCATTCTGTGGGCTGTATCTTTACTTTGTTGATTGTTTCCTTTGCTGTGACAAAGCTTTTTGACTTGATGTGATCACATTTCTCCCCAAAGTCCTCTTCAGTCTTCCTTCTCCTCTCCTCAAGTAGTCAAAAGGTATCTTTTTGGAGCCACAAGCTGTTCAGCCTGGGGTTTGGGGAGGGGTGGTACAAGCATTATCTCAGCCACCTTGACTGGTGTCTCTGGCTCTCATGGCCCCCAAGTCCCCTGGCTCTGAGCCCCATTCAGCAATAGAACTTGCCCATGAGTCACAGTACATGTGGCCTATACTGCCTTTCAAGTTTATTTAGAGCGCCAGAGCACTTTAGCTCATGGTGGTGAGGCTTGCCAAACCTCAACTTCTAACCCCTGGGATGGGTGATTCCCCTCTAGCTAAGGCTAGTTTAAATGTTCCTTCTATGAGAGAGCATCAGCAGAGCTCAGCTAGGTTTTGCTTTCTGCTGTGACAGGGTAGCACTAAGTTCAATCCAATGTCTCACAATTCCTGTGTTATCTGCCTCCCAAGTGCACGCCACATGACTGCTGTCAGAAGGTGGGAGAGGGTGGCATCAATGATTCAAGACTCTTTCCTACTCATTTTCAGTGCCTCTTTCAGTATATATGAAGTTAAAAGCAAGTACTATAGGTGCTCACCTGATTTTTGGCTTTTATGAAGGTGCCTTTTCTGTATGTAGATAATTGTTAAATTAGTGTCCTTGAAGGAGGGACAATTGGTGGAGCCATTTTTTTGGCTATCTTGCTCTGCCCCTTTCACAGTTAGGTTTTAAAACAGTTTGTTTAGGCCAGGCACAGTGGCTTGCACTTGTAATCCCAGCATGTTGGGAGGCCAAAGCTGTGGATCACTTGAGCCCAGGAGTTCAAAACCAGCCTAGGCAATGTGGCAAACTCTGTCTCTCCAAAAAAAAAAAAAAAAAAAAAAAAAAAGCTAGGCATGGTGGCATGCACCTACTCAGAGGTTGAGGTGGGAGAATCAATTGAGTCTGGGTGGTTGAGTCTGTGGAAAGCCATGATCACACCATCACACTCTAGCCTAGATGACAGAGCAAGAGTCTGTCTCAAAAAAAAAAAAAAGTAGTTTGGTTGTTTCTTATAAAGGTACCTATACGTTTATAACATTACCTATTTCCACTCTCTGGTATTTACCCAAGAAATATAATAACATATGTCCACAGAAAGACCTGTTTGCAAAGGTACATAGTCACATAATTCATAACAGACCCAAACTAGAGAATACCCAAATGCCCATAAGCTGTTAAACTGATAAAATCTATGTTATAGTCACACCATAATAAAAAAAGAAAAGCTGCTGATACACACAAAAACATGTATAAAGTTCATAGACTTTATGCTGACCAAAATAAGCCAAACACCAAGGAAAATATTCTACAAGATTCCATTTACATGAAGATTCTAAAATACTGTCATGTGTTGGTTAATGATGGGGATATTTTCTGAGAAATGAATTGTTAGGTGATTTTATCTGGGAATTTCATAGAGGGTACTTACACACACCTAGATTGTATAGGCTACTACATACCTAAGCCATATTGTACAGCCTATTACTCCTAGTCTACAAACTTATACAGCATGTTACTGTACTGAATGCTGTAACACCAATTGTAAATATTTGTATATCTAAACACAGAAAAGGCAAACTAAAAATATGACACAAAAGATAAAAAATGGTACGTACACCTGTATAGGGCATTTACCTTGAATAGAGCTTGAAGGTCTGCAAGTTGTTTTGGGTGAGTTACTAAGTGGTCAGTAAATGTGAAGGCCTACAACATTACTGCATACTACTATAGACTTTATGAACACTGTACACTTAGGCTACACTAAATTCATTAAAAATTTTTCTTTCTTTAATAGTAAATTAACCAGTGATTGCTATAACTATTTTACTTTATAAAATTTATTTTAAATTATTTGACTCTATTGCAATAACACTTAGCTTAAAATGCAAACACATCGTATATCTGTACAAAAATATTTTCAGTGTATCATTATTCTACAAGCTTTTTTCTGTTTTCAAATTTTTTAGTTATTTTTTAACTTTTTTGTTAAAAACTAAGACACAAATACACACATTAGCCTAGGTCTACACAGGGCTATGATCAGGATAATCAACATCACTGCCTTCCACCTCCACATCTTATCCCCCTGGAAGGTCTTCAAGGGCAATAACACGTGTAGAGCTTTCATTTCCTACAATAACAATGCCTTCTTATGAAATATCTCCAGAAAGACCTGCCTGAGGCTGTTTTGTTATTAACCATTTTTGTGTATGTAGGAGTATACTCCAAAGTAAAAATAAAAAGTATAGAATAAGTAAATACAAAAAACAGTAACATAGTTGTTTATTATCATAATCAAGTATTATATAATATATGTGATTGTATATACCATATTTTCATATGACTGGTAGGTAGCACAGTAGGTTTGTTTACAACAGCATCACTACAAACACATGAGTAATATGCTATGCTATGATTTTATGATGGCTGTGATATGACTAAGTGATAGGAAATTTTCAGCTTTCTTATAATCTTATGGAGCAACTGTTGTACATGTGGTCTGTCACTGATACAAACCTTGCTATACAGTACATGATTTATATACAAAACAATCTATATTTTTTAAAAGATAGCAAGAAAAAACCCAGTGGTTGTCTGGGGCAGGGATGTGAGAGGTGCTGGAGATTGCCTACAGAGGGGCCCAAAGAAATGTTACAACCTTAATTTGGTTGGTAGTTTTATGGGTTACATTTGTCAAACCTCATCAATCTATACACAAAATGTATATTTCCTTGTATATAAAGTATACTTCAACAATGAATGATTTTAAAAATTTAATAAAGAGAAAATGCTTTTAAAATATTATTTGATTGAAGGAAAATCTGACTCAGTAAAATAAGTGAACAAAATAAATCACTGTTATAGAAATTGTTTCCAAGAATCAATCTTCTATCCTAAAAACCAAATCCAACCCATCAACTAGGGAAGCACCTATTACATAGGGATGGGTACGCAACACCTCCAATTCTTGGCCATTACACCTATGGATGATAGCTTTACTTTTCCCAGTAAGGGATATTCCCAAATGGTAGACACAGGGAAGGAGAGAGCCTTTTTTCTGTTCACATATATTCTGTATTAAAAATAATTCCATGAATTTGATGCCTAGATGGAATGAATCTATCAAAGAAAACATCATAAGACAAAAAAAAAAATACAAGAAGTAAAATGAACACCTACTCCAAAACATTAGATTGTTATCTCTTCTAATTAGGTTAATCGGATCCCCAATCTAATTAGAACTCACTTTGAACCATTTCAGCTTTGAAAAGTTGCCCTAGGTCTTGGCCTGGGCACAAGTGTTGTTTGTTGCCTGCCTGATCTGTTGGCTCTGATTGAGAGTGTGGGGCATTAGAGCTTGGCATGAAGCTGGTCACTTTAGGCACTGAAACCTCTTAATCACTCACTCACTAACTATAATTACTCTCTGCTAAAACTTTATCTATTCCTGACTCACAGGCTGTTCTCACTTCAGTTTAAACTTCTGGTATTTTTCCTGGACTGAGGATGGAATAGGAACATCTTCACCATACTCAGGTTCCATGCACTTAAAAAGGAAAAACTAAAACTTAACAAAGATGGAAATATATAGGATGCCTTTTTTTTCTATGAGAAAAAAATCTCTCTCTCTCTCTTTCTTTCTCTCTCTCTGTCTTGTACATGCATTATTTTTTAAAAAATTATAAAATATAGATAATATAAAATTTACCACTGTAACCATTTTGAGTGTACAGGTCAGCGCCATTAAGTACATTTGCAATGTTGTATGACTATCATCACTATCCATTTCCAGAACTTTTTCTTCATCTCATAATATCTCTCTTAATGAATAATATTACCAATGTTTATCTCCTTGCTTAAAAACTTGTAATTTCTGCATAAGCTATTTACTCTCTACAATTAACTGATTTAAAAGAGAGTTCATCATCAGGCTTCTTTCCCATATTTTTAATTTTCTTTCTAGAACCTTTAAAATATTTTGAGAATACAGAACTAATCCATTTTAAGCAGTTGCTCAGAATAGCAGTTTACTCACAGAGAGATTATGGCACAAGGGGTATGCCATCCTCCCATGTTTCAGGGGATGAAGTATCAGAACAGATCCTAGAGAGGGGTTGAGTTTCTCTCTACTGAACTCTGCCTTTATTTCCGGAAGTTGCCACTGCATAATTTGTGGTGAATCATCAAGCTAGAATAGCAGGCATGGCAGTTTGTATTTTCTTAGACATAGACAAACCAAGAAAAAACTGGTACAGTCCATACTATATGCTCACTAATATTTATCTTTAAAATTAAGTATGATGAACTAGTTAAAGTTAGTAAATAATTAGGTTAGTCATGCAATTCCACATAGAACAAGTGGGAAACAATAGATACCTGTGAAGGTTTTCTAATTTTTGCTTTATGTATCCTATTTCTGTCAACATGTTGTCCAATCATTTTAAAAAGAACTCTGCTTTATCTATCCCAGATTAATCACAGTTCTATAACAATTACATTTCATGGTTTAAAATGTTCCATTGGTACTTTCTTACTCTTTACTAAAATTCAGTAACAGTTAAGTCAGAAACATATATTCTCTGCTCTTTTGTTGGACAAAATAATTAATTTCGGCGTAGGTTTTAACTTGAAGTTGTGCTTTGTTTGCCCACTTACTCTTTCCCTCAGTCTGAGTTTCCAAGCTACTTGGACACACCTTTTTAAACTAAAGGTATGTCTGTCCTTAAAGGTTTTAAAAATTCTCTCAGAACTGCTTTCTCTTGGTGAATGAAAAATCTTTATTTGACATTTTAAAGCTTGATTACTTAAAAGAGCCACATTGCACCATTTTGTAACAAAAACTGCCTTGGCTTGAATTAAATTACATGGGAAGTTATCTACACCTAATCAATATTAGATTTATTTGTAACTCACCTGATTCTTAAAAATATATAAGATAAAATAATACAAATATAAATGAAATAAATTATATAAGAGGTTTCTCTTCCTGAACCCATGAATCAGAGTATTCCTTTACATTAACCACACCCTACCATTCCTTCACAGCTTAGCAGTTCCCTTATAAAGTCTCTTCTGACTAACCCAGATTGCAAAGCTCTCTTCTTTCTCTGAATACCTACTGCAGTTCCACAAGCTCTTTATACCATCCTCACACTTCTGCCAAAGACAGCTGATTATATTATTCCCCTACTCAAAAGCCTATAGTGACTCTCCCCTTCTTCAATGATAATTACAAAATCTTTTAACAAAGCAATGAAAGACCCTTATAGTATGCCCCAGTCTTCTTCTCTGCCCTCAAAACCCACCCTGAATTATAAGAACTGTCCTCTAGTGATACCACACAGCTGGGAGTTCTTAAATATACCATGCAATTTACTTCATACCTCTGTGTATTGGCCCATGTTTCTTCTAACTGGAATGTCTTATTTCCTTTTTATTGTCTGCTGAATGCCCATGCATCTTTTAAGACCTGGTCAAGAGTCACTTTCTTTGTGAAAAATTATCTGACCCTCGTAAGCAAAACTAACATATTATAAAGTTATCACAATTAAAAGAACATGATGCTGGCATATAAATAGTCAAATATATCAATGAAACATAATAGAACTCCAAAACAGACATATATATATATCTAAGAATTTAATGTATTGGAAAGAAGGAATTTCAATTAAATGATACTGATACAATTGACCATTTGTTAAGAAAAACATGAAAAAAAGCAAAAACAATACACACCAAGTATCATTAAAAAAGTCAAATTGATTGTTCAACACCCGCCTATGAGTGAGAACATGCGGTGTTTGATCTTCTGCTCTTCTGTCAGTTTGCTGAGAATGATGGTTTCCAGATTCATCCATGTCCCTACAACATGGACACAGGGAGGGGAGCACTACACACTGGGGTCAGTTGGGGGGAAATAGGGGAGGGACGGTGGGGGGTGGGGAGCTGGGGAGAGATAGCAAGGGGAGAAATGCCAGATGTAGGTGATGGGGAGGAAGGCAGCAAATCACACTGTCACGTGTGTTACTATGCAACAATTTTGCATGTTCTTCACATGTACCCCAAATCCTAAAATGCAATAAAATAAATGGGAAAAAAAAAGTCAAATTGATTCTTAAAAATGAATCATAAAATATTATTACATAAAAATAGAACTGACTAAACTATCTGTATGGCTTTTTAGTAAGGGATAGAGCTGTTTTTTAAAAAAGTGAACAAAATACTTCAATAAAAATATTAATCTTTTTTTAAATTGACAAATAATTTTATATATTTATGGGGTACAGAGTGATATTTTGAAACACACAATGTGCAATGATCAAATCAAGATAATTAGTGTGTCTAAACTTTTATCACTTTTTTGTGCCGGAAACATTCAAACTCCTCTTTTCTAGCTATTTCAAAATATACATTAAATTATATACATTATATATGCATTAAATATATATACAGTATATACATTGTATATACATTATATACAAAATATACATTAAATTCTAATGTTTCGTAGAATTGTAATGTGACATTACAATTCTACGAAACATTAGAATTTATTCCTCCTATCTAGTTGTAGTTTTGTGTCCTTTAACCAACCTCTCTCTATTCAGCTCTCCCCCATATCCTTCCAAGCCTTTAGTAACTACTGTTCTACTCTGTACTTGAAGGAAATCAATTAATTTAACTTCCACATATGAATGAGAACATACAGTATTTATCTTTCTGTGCCTGGCTTATTTCACTTAACATAATTATAATTACCTCCAGTTACATTCATGTAGCTGCAAACGACAAGACATAATTCTTTTTGTGGCAGAATAGATTCTTCTGTGTATATATGTGACATTATTTATTCATATGTTGTTGGACACTTACATTGATTCAATATCTTGTTTATTGTGAATTTTGCTGCAATAAACATGGGAGTGTAAATATCTCTGATTTATTGACTTCTTTTCCTTTGGCTATATATCCAGTAGTGGAATTTATGAATTATATAATAGTTTTATTTTCAGGTTTTTGAGGAGTCTCCATACTGTTCTCCATAATGGTTTTATTAATTAGATTCCCACCCTCAGTGTATAGTGTTCTTTTTTCTCCATATCCTCACGAGCATTTGTCCTTTTACTCCTTTTGATAATAGCCATTCCAACTAGAGTGAGATGATATCTTATCGTGGTTTTGCTTTGTATTTCCTTGATGATCAATGATGTTAAACACTTTTTCATATATTAGCTGGCTATTTGTGTGTCTTCTTTTGAGAAATGTCTATTCAGATCATTAGCCCATTTTTAATGGAATTATGGTTTCTGTGCTAAGTTCTTTTGAGTTCCTTGTATATTCTGCATATTAATTCCCTGTCAGATTAATGGTGTGTAAATATTTCTCCCCATTCTGCAAGTTGTCTCTTCATTCTATTGATTGTTTCCTTTGCCGTGCAGAAGCTTTTTAATTTGGTATAATCTCATTTACCTATTTTTGCTTTTGTTCCCAGACCAATGTCCTGAAGTATTTTCTCTATGCATTTCTCTAGTCATTTCATGGTTTGAATTCTGATGTTTGTCTTTAATCTATTTTGAGATTATTTTTGTATTTGGTGAAAGACAGAAGTTGAGTTTCATTTTTCTGCATATGAATATTCAGTTTTCCCATCGCCATTTATAAAAGAGGTTGTATTTCCCCAATGTATGCTCTTGGCGCCTTTATTGAAAATCATTTGGCTGTAAACACATGGATTGCTTCTGATTTATCCACTCTGTTCCATTTGTCTATGTGTCTGTTTTTATGCTGTTACCATGCTGTTTTGGTTACTATAGTTTTGTAGCATAATTTGAAGTCAGGTAGTGTACTGCCCCCAACTATGTTCTTTTTGTTCAGGATTGCTTTGGCTATTTGGCATCTTTTCTGGTTCCAAACCAATGTTAGCATTTAAAAATATATTTGTGTGAAGAACTTCATTGGTATTTTGATAGGGATTGTATTGAATGTCTAAATTATTTTGGGTAGTACGTCATTTTAATAACATTGATTCTTCTAATTCCATGAATATAGGATTTTCTTTTATTTTTTGTGTCTTCCTCTACTATATTCATCAGTGTTTTAAAGTTTTTATTGTATAGAACTTTCACCTCCTTTGTTAAATTTATTACCAGATATTTTATTTTTTTAGCTATTGTAAATGGAATTGCTTTCTTGATTTCTTTTTCTGCTAGTTCATTACTGGTGTATAGAAATGTTATTGTTTTTTATAAGTTGACATTTTATCCTGCAATTTCACTGAATTTGTCTATCAATTCTAAAAGTTTATTGGTGGAGTCCTTAGGTGTGTGTGTGTGTGTGTGTATGTGTGTGTGTGTGTGTGTGTGTATGATCATGCCACCTGCAAAGGAGAAAATTTGATTTTCTCCTTTCCTGTTTGGATACCCTTTATTTCTTTCTCCTGCCCAATTGCTTTGGGTAGAACTTACAGAAATATCCTGAATAAGAGTGTTGAAAGTGAATATCCTTGTCTCATTTATGATGTTAGGGGTGGGTTTGTCATATATGGCCTTTACTGTATTGAGGTGCATTCTTTCTGTGCATACGTTGTAGGAAGTATTTTTTTAATCATGAAGATATGTTAAATTTTATCAAATGATTTTCCTGCACCTACTGAGGTGATCATGTTTTTGTTCTTCATTCTGTTAATGGAATATATCACATTTATTGAATTGTTATGTTGAACCATCCTTGTTACCCTGTCATAAATCCTACTTGATGATAATACATAGGCTTTTATATTATATTTTAATATATATGGGGTTTGTTGTATATATGTTCATCAGAAATATTGGCTTGTGGTTGTGTCTGTGTGTGTGTGTGTGTGTGTGTGTGTGAGAGAGAGAGAGAGAGAGAGAGAGAGAGAGTGTGTGTGTGTCTATACATCCTTGTCTTGTTTTGGTTTCAGAGTAATGCTGGCTTCATAAAATGAGTTTGGAACAATTCCCTTAATGCTTTGGAATAGTTTGAGAAGAATAGGTGTTCTTCTTTGAAAGTTTGGTAAAATTCAGCAGTGACGCTATCTGGTTCTGGACTTCTTTTGGTGGGGGGACATACTTCTTTTTAATCACTGATTTAGTATTTTCACTTTTTATTGATTTGTTCAGGTTTCCTATTTCTTCCTGGTTCAATCTTAGTATGTTGTGTTGAGGAATTAATCCATGTCCTCTAGGCTTTCCAATTTGTTGGCATATTGCTGTTGATAATTGTTTCTAATAATCTTTTGCATTATGCAGTATAAGTTTTAATGCCTTATTTTTCATTTTGTATTTTATGTCTCCACTTTTCTTAGTCTAGCTAACGGTTTGTTGATTTTGTTATGCTTTCAAAGTCCAAATTTTCATGTTGTTGATATTTTGTATTTTTTTATGTCTCTATTCTGTTTATCTTTTCTCTGATATTTATTATTTCTTTTATTCTACTAATTTTAAATTGTGTTTGTTATTGCTTGTCTGGTTCCTTGGGGTGCATTGTTAGGTTGTTTATTTGAAATCTTTCTACTTTTTCTTAATTCTTTCTGATTATTTTATTTTTTTACTGGATGATTTTAAAATACCTAATTTTAAACTCAGAAATTCTTTCTACAGGGTGCCATGTGAACTAGTCCCTGGTCATTGGGGGATATGCACGGAGTACGGTGCCTCTGCTGCTGAAGGAGATGGGTTGCCAGTAGTGGTAGGTCAGGAGGACCAGTTATTGGTCCTTAGGGAGTTTGTGTGGCATGCAGAAACTTTATCACTGGAGGTGCTAGCGCCAGTAGCAGTAGTGGACATTGGGTGGGCCAGTCATTGGTCACTGGGGAGCTCATGTGGCACATAGCAGCTCTGCTGCTGGAGGAGGGGGGTGCTGGTGGCAGTAGGCACCTGGCAGGCAAGCTCTCAGTCTCATAAGTCTCTAGGGAGTGCACATATGGGCCCCTTTGCCCTTTGGTCCCATGTGCAGCCTCTCTCCTATGCTGGATTATGTTCTACTTGGGGTGTACGATATTATGGGGGCTTGTGTGCCAGAATCATGGCTGTATTGTTGGGTCCAGTTGGTGTTGTAGTGTTGCAGCCTCCTGTGTGCAGCGGGATAATAAATGGGTCACAGGATGTGGTGATGCATGAGCTATTAAAACACAGGGAAGAATGTGCTCTGGTTGAGGCTCCTCCTTTAAAATGGTGACATGCCATAGTAGCCTAACTCTCAGGGAGCTGAGAGGGGACTTAGTGTGAAGTCCTTCACTGAAGCAATGTAGCTATATGGACTTAAGGCAGCTTTCTATACTTAGCTCACAGCTTGGAAGACTGTGGAACTTCCCTTTAGCGAAGACTGCAGACATCCCCAATGGCAATAGGCACTGCTAGGAGTCTCTTGCTTACTTTTTCCCTACAACAGGAAGGGGTCTATTATGGCTCCAAACCATCCTGGCTGGGTGCTTCATTTCTTTCTGTATGCTGCCATATCAAGTTTTTGTGTCTCAGAGAGTCTTTGTCACTTCTTGCTGAATTCCAGTGTACTCTCACAGACATTCTACTCAATTTGCAGTTATCTACTAGTTTTGGTCCTTCTTTGTGGAGGAGGTGAGCATTGGGCATTTCTGGACAAATATGTTGATGATGTATTCACATTGTTAAATTGAACATCCTCAAAATTTTAAACTTCTCTATGACAAGATACTCTAAGTTTAAACAAAAAAGCAGTAGACCAGGTATAAGTTAAATTATTTTCAGTATACCAGACAATATATTAGTATCTATAATATATAAATAACGCCTAGAATTTAATTTAAAAAGAATACATTCCCTAATATAGATATGGACAAAAAATATGAAAATGTGCTTCATAGAAAAGGATATACAAATGCCCCATAAATATATTAAAAGATGCTCATTCTCAAGTAAATAAGAAAATGCAAAAAGAACAGCAATGAAATAACATTTTAAATCATCAGATTGGCAAATAATGAATTAGTTTGATGATATCATATGTTAATAAGGATGTGGTAAAACAAGTACTGTCATATCCTTCTAGTGGAACCATCAATTGGAATAGCCATTACGGTAATTAAACATTAACAATTTAAATGATATCAGTGTTCATATCCCATAAAATCCAGCAATTCTGCTTCTCAGTAGCTAAGTTAGAAAAAAACTAAAACCATGTGTAGGTATAAAAATGTTCACTGAAACACTGTGTATAATACTGATAAACTGTAAACAGCCCTAAATGAATATTAATAGGGGACTAAATGAACAAACTACAGCATATCCATGTTATGAAACTCTATGCAATAATTTACAATGATGAGGTACTGATAAGGCATAGTGTTGAATGAAACAAAAGCCAACTTGTGGATATGTTTATCAAGATACCAATTTCATAAAAAAAGAAAAATGTTAGTATCATATATATTCAAATATATACAGAGTTATGCATATAAATGCTTAGAGAAATTCTAGTTTTAAAGGGGTGCTAACCTTACCAATAATATACTTATATGCTATGTATATAATTAAGTATTATAAACAAAGAGCAACAAATAGATTAGGTTTCTTTGTATTTGAACATTATTCACCATGGATTTTTTTTTTCCAAGACTAAAGGGCCATTTCCTCAATGTCACAGTTTATAACTGAATATTCAAGGCAAGGACTATGCCAAAGTTACTTCACCCATTATCTTGTTTAATTTTCTTAACATTAAGGATGAGAATTAGGGAGGGGCAAGGAAAGCCAAGTCATCCACATGCAGAATTGTATTCTGTCTTTATTTTAAAAATTGATATTTTCTTCACTGTGGAGCTCTGTATTAAATTTGCTTTTAAAAAATTGCAAAAAATATTGTCTTGATGAATAAGTTCCTTGGTGCCTCCTATATTGTACACCCAAGGTGAATGTTCCACACACTTCACAGTGCAACCTTTGTGTAACACTTTGAGTCTGGTATATTACACTCAATTTACAGGTGAGGAAGTTAGTTTAAGGCCACCCAGCTAGAAAACTAGCAAATAATAGAGCCAGGATTAAAATTCAGGTCCATTAGACTCAAAACCCATATTTACCATCTTTGAGTTTCTGTGCAATTTAGTTCTGTTTTGTTTCATTAATTCAATGGAGCTGTGCCTACTCCCAATGATAAAGTGCTTCATAGATCTTCCATGCAGCTGTGCTTCACACCCTATTAGGCAATTCAGTCTGTCTTGCCACACAACTTGTGGAAGTGCTTTGTATTTTGCATAGCTTACTATCTGTCAATGAAATATGGAAAAAATATAATTAGAAATAATATATGAATTATGTAGGACATAAGTGGTTTGACCCATACTATTCAAGAGAAGTATCATAAACCTGTGTAGACTTGAATGTAGACTTATTGGTTTCACCCCATAGCCTAGGAGTGATGAGTTGAGCCTTGGCCCCCTGAAATTTTCCAGAAATGAAGTCAGTCAAATGAACCCACCTTATATCATACCCTCAATGGTATCAAAGAACATAAACGCCCCCCCCCCCAAAAAAAAAGGACAAAAAATCCATCCAAAGAACAGCAACTTCAAAGATTAAAGGAATATCAGCCCATGCAGATGAGACAGAACCAGTGTAAGAACTCTGGCAACTCAGAAAGCCAAAATATCTTCTTTGTTTCAACCCCCACACTAGTTCCTCACAAATGGTTCATAACCAGGCTGAAATGGCTGAAAAGACAGATATAGAATTCAGGATCTGAATAGGAATGAAAATTATCAAAATTCAGGAGAAAGTGAAAATCTAATCAAAGGAATCTAAGGAATCCATAAAATGATACTAGTTGAAAGACAAAAGAGCCATTTTAAGAAAGAACCAAACTGATTCGATAGAGCTGAAAAACTCACTATAAGAATTTTATAATATAATCACAAATATTAACAGCAGAAGATACCAGGCTGAGGAAAGAATCTCAGAGCTCAAAGACTGGTTCTTCAATCAGCTCAGTCAGAAAAACATAAAGAGAAAAGAATAATAAAAAAAATGAACAAGACCTTCAATAAACATCAGACTATATACAGAGATCAAACCTGCAACTTGTTGGAATCCCTGAGAGAGAAGGAGAGAAAGCAAATAACCTGGAAAATATATTTGAGGAAATCATCCAATAAAATTTCCCCAACCTCATTAGAGAGGCCCACATTCAAATTAAAGAAATGCAAAGAACCCTTGTGAGATAATATACAACAGGACTCATTCCCAGGACAAATAGTCATAAGATTCTCCAAGGTAAACATGAAAGAAAAAATATTCAGTGCAGCTAAAGAGATAGGGCTGTTCACTTAGCCCACCAGGCTAACTGTGAAACTTTCAGCACAAACCCTGCGAGCTAGAAGGTATTGAGGTCCTATATTCAGCATTCTTAAAAAAAAAAGACATTCCAAACAAGAATTCCACATCCAGCCAAACTAAACTATAAAGTTTAGTTATAAACTTCACTTATAAAAGTGAAGAAGAAATAAGATACTTTTTAGACAAGCAAATGGTAAGGAAATGTGTTACCACCAGACCTGCCTTATAAGAAATTCTTGAGGAAGTCCTAGATATGGAAAGGATAGATCATTACCAGCCACCATAAAAACACTTTTAAGTACATAGACCACTGACACAGTATTAAGCAACTACACAATCAAGTCTACATAATAACTAGCTAACAACGTGATGACAGGACCAAAACCACACATATCAATATTAACCTTGAACAAGAATGAGGCTAAATGCCCTTTTTAAAAGGCAAAGACTGGCAAGTTGAATAAAAAAGCAAGGCCTAACTGTATACTGTCTTCAAGACGTGTATCTCACATGCAGTGGCACCCATAGGCTCAAAATAAAAGGATGAGGAGAAATCTACCAAGCAAATGAAAAAAAAAAAAAAAAAGAATTGACAGTTGTTATTGTAACTTCAGACAAAACAGACCTTAAACCAAAAATGTTCAAAAAAATTAAAGTAGGATATTACATAATGGTAAAGGATTCAATTAAACAAGAA